GAGAAATAGCAAAAGAGCCATGCTTATTTGCAAGCTAGGGAGACCATATGGTCCAGGCTGGGATGTTGTTAATAATTATGCTGAGACAACAGGCATGACCCAGAGTTGCCTCATGCACACTGGGTATGTGATTATTGTATCAATAAAGGAATCAGTTCAGCAAAGTGAGGAGGGGTCTGGGGCAAGGGAGGCACATCAATTATGAGGCTTTAGCTGTAAATTAAGGAAACTATACTTAACTGGTTTAAATAATAAGGAAATGTTATTATTTTATAATACAAGAGATCCCTGATTCCATGGTTGGCCCTGGAATTCAGGAGCTCAGACTCCTCCCATCTGCCATTTGCATCTTCAGTTGTCCGCAATGTCCTCCTTCAATGGCTCAAAATGGCTGCCATACTTCCAGACATCACGGCCTGCCTCACTCAGTTCGAACAGCTTATGATCTGCGGAGGATCAGGTAGCATTCCGAACACTCTGGATCTCTGAGGCATCTTAATCCGCACAGCAACCCTGTGAGGTCGGAACGCTTACTGGCCTCAGAGAAATGAAGTCATTTGCATAAAGTCACACAATTAGGAAGTGGTTGATCTGGGATTTGAACCCGGACAGCTGGTCCTTAGAGCCACAAGAATGTTGAAAGGCGAGAAAAGAAGGTATGAATGTCAGTGGCAGAGTGGGATTTGAACAGAGGGTCTGAGGCATTTCCCTCTCTACTTTCTCCAAGCTGTGCTTCCAACACTTTCTGGCACCAACAGGATCTGGCAAAGCTCTGGGGCCCTGACTTAATCTGATATCTATTATGCTCCAATCAGATCTTGAACCAGAGCCCTCGGGAGAGATCTGCTTCCAACATCAGGGCTTCCTTAGGAGAAGCAGCTCAGCTAGGACTCCACGGAAGCGAATTCTATCTTGGTCGGAAGCAATGAAGTGTGAGCTGTGTGTACAGCGTTGGGTCCGACTGTCTAGCTGTTCTGCCCAGGTCCAAGGGTGGAGGAGCCTTTCTCCTCTTCTCAGAAAGCTACTCTCAGCCAGAGCGGGGAAAGCCTGACTTGCTGAGAACTTATTTGCATCTGGAACTCCTTGGCCAGCAGTAACTCATTTTGCACCTGACTCACTCGGCTTGGGATAGGAAAAAATAGCCAGCCTTTGTTTCTCCTTGCTTTCTCTTAATGAATTTTTCTCTTAAACAGAGCTTAGGGAGAGGGCTTGTGGAACCTGAGCTGGCACAACCTGACAGGGCCTCTGTTGGGGATAAGGAACTATCTTTCTGACATTTCCACACAGCAGTCTTCTCCCCCACCACCATAGCAACCAACGCAACGGTATTTCCCAGTCTCTGGGAAGGGCATGGCAACGGAGACTAAGATTGTCCCTGCAGAGAATTTCCCTGTCGTTGTCATCACTTTTATTTCTCCCCCTGAACTGAAAGTTGATTTTTTTTCTTCCTCTTCTTCTTCCCTGTTCTTTTGGTGATGGTTTCCTAGTTTTAGCCTTTTTCAGGGCCAGCTCTGAGAGAGATGTGTGGGACATGGGAATTTCCCACCAGAGACCCCGGAAGGAAGGGATGGGCGAGATGGGGGTCAAGGCTGAAGGAACTGGGGAGTGGAAGGACAGTGTCCCCCAGCTTGGTACTGCTTAGTCATGTTTGATTCATTGAGTTGCTCTGTGCCAGGATTAGCTGGGAGGCAGCCAGGCCCCGAACCCAAGGAGTCCCCATTGATCCTGAGAAAGGTGGGTACCCTTGTCTGAGTCATGAGGCCTGGGGTAGGCAGTGGGCTGAGGCAGATGCCACCGAAGGTGCCACCAACCAGCTCTGGCTTCCCACGTTCATGCTATCAAGGCCTGCTGAAGCTGAAGGAGCTTGTTGATCTGTCACTTGATTATTTTCCTGCTTCTCCAGCTCCAGATTGAATGTACAAGAGGCAGAGAGCTTATCTCTTGTGCCCATGGCTGTGGCCCAGCTGGTGCATAGTGGGTCCTCATCACAAAACAGAAGGACCCTGCTGTCTGTCTAAGTCATCTTCATCGGCTTGCTCTGCCACGAGGGCCTGAGCGTTGCTGGTTGGTCACTGCTGTAGTTTCAGCACTTCCCTGGAGGCCCAGAGTGTAGTAGGTGCTTGTGGCAGACGCTGCTAGATGTTCCACACTAGTGTCAAGTTGTTCAGGCAGCCACATGCCAGGAGAAGCAGGATTGTTTTCACTGGATGGTAGCAATCTTTGCTCTTGGTCAGGGACTATTCAAGCGTCCCACATAATCTTGTCCTGACCTGTCCTGTGTTTAACCCCCTTTCCCCCACACACAAAAAAAGAGAGGCACAGAGGAAAATTCCCTTTGTCCTTTGCTTTCCAGCCACAGAGCTGTGTACCGAGGTGACGGTGCCCTTTCAGCAGCGATTGTGTGACTCTGAGGCCCTACACTTTGAGAAAGAAAGCCACCATGATGGGAACAGCAGGGTCAGAGGGGCCTTGATAACATCAACAGGTTCTGAACCAGCCTTAAGAACCAGCTTCCTCTGGGCCTCTTGCTCAACAAACAATGTCCTTAAGTTCTGAGCCATCAGCAGCCCAATTCTCCTCCTCCTTGTAAGCAAACGCATCCTAATGGATTCGGCACTCAGGGCAGGAGTGCAGTCCACAAAAGCCTTCACTTTCTGAGCACTCACTGCATCTCTGAGTGCGGTCCAGGACGCACGTAGGAATCTCGAAGCAACCCCGTGGCCGAGGTTCTCACATCATCCTCGGTTCAGAGGACAGGAAAAGGGGGCCTGGGTACTGAAGCAACTTGGAAAAAGTTGTATCATCTAATGGTGTCATTGTCACCAGGGATGGGGAAGGTGGGATGTGAGGCAGGGAGAGGATGGGCAAGATCTGGGCCCTGTGGCTCGGCCAGGATGGACTCCACCCGCAAATCTATGTTGTGTACTTTAGCAGTGGTTTTCAAAGGGGACACCTGGCGATGTCTGGAGCTCTCACACTGGCATCTAGTGGGCACGGTGAGCTGCTAAATGCCCTACAGGCTACAGGACCACACCCTTGTAAACGAAGCATTAACTGGTCCCAAATGTCAACAGTCCTGACGTTGAGAAGCTCTCAGTTTGCTCTCCCAGATTTCTGTAAAAATTAGATCACTAGGGCACAGAGAGGTGAAGTGTCTCGGCCAAGACCACCCAGCCAGTTAGGGGTCAGAGCTGGGAGGCAAATGCAAGCCTGCTTCCTTCTGGTCCGGCATCAGCAGGCTTCTAATGCTCCCCTGGTGGGAGGCACAACTCGTTTCAAAATGAGGCAATTGAAGCTCCAACAGGTGTTGTGACAAGTCTAAGGTCACACAGCAGAGCTCTTTCAGAGACCTTTACTAGTTAGTGCGAGACTTGAGAACAAAAGGCTAGTCACCTTTTGGACAGCGCTGACTCCACCGCCCACAACTGATGCTCTACTCTTTGCTGGAGATACCTTCACTCGCCAAGGCCCAGATCAAATGCCGCCCTGCCCAAGAACTTAGAGAAACAGAGCCCTGGGGAGGCAGGAGCTACCCCACTCTGTGCTCCTAGGCACTTGTACTTACCCCATGTCCGCTGAAGGACAGCTCTAGGCATGTGGAACAGAGATAAACAAGCAATATGTCCCTGTCCCAAGGATGATTGCAGTGTCAGAGGGGACTATAACATGAATGAGCTACCCCACTGCAGAGACAACTCGGGCAGGGTAAGGACTGTTAGGCCAGTTTAGAGAGAGGGGCCAGGCCAGGAGGACAGTTCACACATCCAGCGACAATTCCAGAAGTGACACTGGCAGATGATTTTCCAAGTGCAGGGCGCTGTTCCAAGTACTTCTCATGGCTCAGCGCAGGACCCTACGAGCTAAGTACTCTGTTATTCCCATTGCAGTGAAGAAAACACTGACGACCCTATGGCCAAGGTCACCCAACTAGCAGGTGAGGGAGCTGGGCTGATGTGAGCAGCTGACTCTGGGTCCTACGATCGCCTCACTTCTCCGTACCTCCTCTAAGGCAAGTGAGGACCTTGGCCAAGGGGTTCCATGCTCATCAAGGTCACACAAAGCAGCCTGACCAGAAGCCGGGTTTTCCAAGTGCATGGGAGGGGCGAGGGCAGGGTAGTTCGTAAAAAATTCCCTTGGGAAAGGTGGAAAGAGCAGGGTCTTGAGCAAAGAAGTTGAGGGAGAAAGAGGAAAACGAAGGAAGGAAGAAAAGGATAATGAAGGGAAAGAGAAAACAGCGCGGGCTTGCATATTCCTTTCCAAGGTCGTAGCAGGCCCGAGGGCACCCGGGGCCCTGGTGTCGAGGCGAGGGCGTCACCGACCGGGCAGTGGCCGCCCCCTTTCTTCCCGGGGTGGCGGGGGCGCGCGTGGCGGGCGGGCTTGCTCTCGCGCTCTTCCAGCCCGGGGTTCCCTCCGCCTAGCGGCGGAGCCGCGGCCCGGACCTGCGTGTTGTGCCTGCGCCCGGCGGGTGTCGCGCGTGTCGGGGTGGGAGTGGCGT